TCCCAAGGAAGAACTCCTCCAACCTCATAAAAAAAAGTATTTTTCTGAGACGGATCATACATCAGTCTTGTTATTTGTATGTCGTAGCTGAAAGGTGAACAAACAAAACCCCAGGGAACAGGTATTTGTCACTGATTAATTTTAATGATTTTGTGCTATGATTTGACCATGGCATTAAGAACAAGCATAAAACCTGATTTCATAACTAACAAACAGCACTTGTGCAACATCTTTCATCAAAAGTATTGCAATTACAGACCTGAGGTCTAAACTGCATCGCCACCTGGGCAAAAGATGCAGGTGGGTGACAGTTGTGAATTATTTCCCATATATAACCAGGGATTAGGGTAAAGAGTAAGCATATGGTTATTTAAACACAAAGGGACTATTTTACTTCTGATTATCATAGCTCACAAAAATTGGAAGATGCAAATACAGTTGTACTTTTTTTAGTAGATTGCTTTATAATAAAAATTAAATGAACTAAATGTGGATAGTGTTTTTTAAAACAATATTAAACTCAACAAGGATACTGGTTGAAACTGAGATTTTTTGAAAGGCAAGCACTGCAGACAGAATCAGCATCACTGAGAGGGATGCTCAGCCAGGGCCGGGTCTGCAGGAAGCAATCTGGCTGGTCACACATCTCACTCATGAGTCCAGAACATTATGGTGCTCAGAGTGCCCATTTTCTGACAGCAATCGAGCCTCGGCCCTCGACCTCGGAAATCCTGAGGGTGTGCCCCACAGTAGACAGATTAACTTGGCCTTGGATGGGACTTAGGAGGTACCCACTGTCATTTTTGCCCAGCTCTCACAGGGAGGCATTAAAGAGGACCGAATTGGCATTAAGAGTTACACATTGAGAATAATTAGTAATAGCTTGGAGCAATTTTCTCCTGACTGGGGAATAGTTTTGTATCTGACTTTCAAAGTCAGAGCACATACCACAGAACAAATGAAAAGCATGGAATTACTCAAATATCACCTGGTGACATACTGGATTACATTGGATGGCAGCATTCCATGGATTGCCTTTATGGATAGCACTTAGTATCCATGGTGGTTTTAATGGACACCAAGGCTTCTCTGCTTGAGAGACAGAGAAGAAAGTTTAAAGTGCCAAAGCCACAATCGGACACTAAAGACTAAACTGGAGCTGGAAGAGACAAGTGTGACACTGCATGCAGCCTAACATGTAACCTAACTGATGGTAGAACCTACTACCTAACGGTAGCACCTAATTACTTTAGAGGTCAAGACCACCACAGGACACAATAGGAATGGACCTACGAGTCTGTACTCAGCCAATGGACAATTCTCTAATGACAACCCAACACATTTTCCCTACCCTAATAATCTTCCCCAATGGATGTTTTCTGAATCACATTCTCCCTACAAATTCCAGACAGTCCATTGGCTCCTTAGCTTCCATTTATAAGACAAGGCACAAAGAAATATGGGACACAAATGGTCACAAGTGCCCTGAGGCTGATTAACCAGCCTCTGCTCTAGGATACTCACTTTCCTGACACCATGGGTGTCTTCAAAGGTTTGCACATCCCACTGAGGCCTGACACTGATACTACAGGGAGAGAGAAGGCCTTCACACAGAGCAAGCTGAAAAGCAACCTTTTCCCCCTACTAAAATATAATCAAACTGGTCTAACAACTATTTCTATAGGGATTAAAATAAAAACATCTTAGAAACTGCTAAAGCGTTTCAAGCAAAGGTACAACTCAGTTCCTAGGTTTGTGCTGGTCATAAGCTGTTGTCTGCTTGTTCAGACTTCATTCCATGGTGTTAATATATTTAATAGGAAAATAAATTACGTAGACTATAAGTAATCATTTGCAAGTTTCCTTACAAAAGGTGGAGTACATAGGCATTCATAAGTTCTATGCCATTTCTGGTAAAACAAGTATCTATACAATGTATTACAATATTAATTTCTTGTTCTACCCATTGGGTAGAATATGTGCATATATTCAATGTATATACAGCACCTTACAAATAAAAGCAAACAGTTGAAGAAGCACCATTTCAAGTGAGGCACAACAAAGGTGAGCATTGCACACAGGGGCTGGAGTCCTACATGTGACATCGGAACAGGAGGCACCTCAGCTGCTTAGAGATGGACTTGCAGAGCTAGGGACCAAAAGGGTGTGCGCAGCCACGTCATCTGTCTAGGCTAACCTTTTCATGTTACACTACTTCCAGCACACCTAGGGACAAAGATGGGATGTGGAAAGACGTTCCTTGCTCAGCAAGATGTCCCTGTGCTCCAATATCAACCTTGTGCTACATCCAAGTAGCAGACGCAGCTATCAAATGACATCTTTATTTCTAAAACCCATGGACTATGGGAGACTAAGAATGCTATTGTGAGTTGTCCACATCTCCAAGGACTGTGAACAGCTACTGGCAACCACACAGCAGGGTTTTTTGGAGTCAATACAATCTAAGGAAACCATGAAGCTACTTGGGATTTTAGGGTACAAGCAAGTTTTGATGGATGACTGACATGGGAGAAAAGCAAAAAAGATAACAGAAAGCAAGTATTCTTCCCACTGGTTCGTTCCCCTTGCCCTGACTGCTGAGATATTTAGGAGGTATAGAGTTGCCATTCTTAAGCAGCAAAACTATGGAAGCACATTCACAGAATTCATACTGTATCTCCATAGCCCAGTTCGTGGAGTCCAGGAACAGCCATGCCTGTTGACAGCAGTGTTGGCAGAGCACAACAGAGGCCATATGGGCATCCTCAATAATCAAGCTTGAGGGCATCTTAAAAGAACTACCCCAAGAGTCTCCCCCAAAAAAAAAAAAAAAAAAAAAAAAAAAAAAAGAACAGTTGAATAAGCGATGTAAAACCTACACCTGTGAGAAGGTAGGTATATGAATAGATTCTTTTAGATCAAAGCAGCTTTCTGAAGGTACTTCCTTTGGTCGCAATAAAATAAAGATGAAGATCAAATGGGGCTACCTAGAATTTCAGAAGAATACTCTCTTTGTACCCAGTTCCCATGTCTGTGTGAAAAGGCATCCATCCCAGTTTGGCTCCTCATCCTTGGCTCTTGGGCTTGAGCTAAAATACACTGTAAGCTTTAGTCACTGCCATGTTGTGCATTGGGTATGTGTCTGTGGTGAAGGCATGGAGATGAGTAATTGGCTTCCTTGTTTACAGAGTTTCTGAAAAAGCAAATGCAGGCCAAAAGACTTGAGTTCCAGGAGATAGATTAGTAGGTCTTGTGTTTCACATTCCTGGAAATCCATGAGACAACAGATAAGTCAGTGGCCTGCCCAGGACTGTTCCTTCTAACAATGCAAACCTTCACTACGGTGCCCCATGGAAATAATCTGCCATAACCTATTGTCAGTTGCTTAAACTCTGCTTTCTAAATCAATCCTCGGGTTCTAAGCACTTGGCTTTTTGAAAGACAACAGCCCCCACTGTATGAGCTATGTCTTCACAGTTGCTAGTTAGTCAACACCTTAGAGCCAGAAGACAGCATGGGATGGACTTGTCAGTTACAAGACTATAACCTAAATCTTCCTGTGCTGAGAAAAATGAACTAATTCATTTTTATGACCTTGACTTTAGTTTTTAAGCTAATTCCTTAAAGAGACCCAGCCTCAAAGACTAAAGACTTCAAAGTCACTGTGTGTGTGTGTGTGTGTGTGTGTGTACCTCTGGGGTACCCAATGTTTTGTCAATATTGTTGGCATCTACAAAATGTCTATATGCTTGCCAAGCTCTGATCTTAGCTCTTTCTAACAGTTGGCAGAAAAGTTGAGCTAAAATAAGGGTTGAGAAGCCCCATTTGGAGCTGAAACTAAAGGGTGGGATCAACAGCTTCACCAAAACTACAATTAGGATTTGGAATGACAGAGCCACAACCTCACCTTCCCCTGGAAGTCACCCATGCCAGTTCCCCTACCAGTGATGTTCCAGAGAGGACACATACCTCCTTCCTCTGCCATTGTATCTCAGGGCCCCATCCAAGCACAATCTGAAAACAGAGGACACCAGGAGCCAGAAACCTTTCAGAAGGAGACCTCAAGAAAGTGGGAAAGGTCCTCTTTGGCCCAGTTAACTTGTAGTCTGAGAGGCCACTGAATGCCACCAGACAAGACAGACCTTCATGTGTACATCCTTCCAAGCACTGTCAAAGCATGAGCTGACAACTGTTGCCTATCTGTCCTCCCTCCTTTTGACTGTGAGTATTCCTATGGACGCTACTGTGTGAAACAGATAAATCACTCAGAGATTTCAAGTCTCAGACCATGCCGGTGGCCTGCCTACTGAGACAGGCAGAAATGAGAAGCCTGGGGTCAGACAGGACTGGGGGGAGGGGCTTCAAACAATCTCTACTGAGAACAGTAACGCACGCACACAAACACACACACACTGATTTGGTGTGAAACTGCAGCTGCACCTCCATTCCCATTCATTCATTCTGTCACATGCTGAGGCCAGACTACCAGAAAGAAGCCCATTGTGCAGTTACAGAGCCAGTGCTTACATGTGCAGAAGAAAGTCATTGAGTTTTGGTTTTTGTTTTAATTGTGCATAAGAATGTTAGAAATAGTAACCTGACTTCAAATACTGAGAAGCTGTTGTCCAGCTGCAACTCTGCCTGCCATGCCTTGTCCTGAGTCACAGCCTCACCCACCATATCTCTGTTCTCTAACTGACCACAGTTCAAAGACTGGCTAGACAAAAGTGAGTCTATGGCATGAGTCTGGTAGGTCTGCACCGGATTCCTCTAACATAACACTGGTGACACGGAATGGCTTGTTATGCCGAATTTGCCCCTCAGTCAGGCCCCGGGGGCATATTAAGCATGGCACTTTGAAAACTGCATGGGCTTGGGGGCAATTGCGGGTGCCAGGTACTGAACAGAATGTCCTTGAAGAATTCCACAGCTGCCTAGGATGGGAGAGGCAGCGGGACTCACTGTGCCACATACTTCAGCAGGACACAAAATGACCATCGTGCATTTTAAACAATTTATTGCATAAAATAAGGTATGTATCTGAATATATTTCATGCTACAGTGAAAAAAGTCTATAAACTGCTGACACTGCTGGGAATAAGGCTAGCTCTGCGTGACACTTGATACACAATGCAGGTTTCTTTTCACCAACCTCTCCACGTAACTCCAGGGGTACACCACTTCTGGCTGCAAGTTTTCCAACACAGCACTTTTTAAATGTACGTAACTTGGTAAACACCAGGGCACATTCCCAAATACCATTCTTGTATGACTCTGCAGAATCTCCAGGGTGTTCCTGGGGCATAATAGCCATCCATAGGTGACAAGACAACATACAGAACTTCACACAACACAATTCCCTCACCCATAGTTTAAACATTAAGATAGTGCAACTCTTAAAGTATACCGTCACAACACAATTAGTTCCTCTCGCTCCTCTATCCACTTTATACCTTGGCACACAAAACAGGAGTTTCGACTCATATTTTTAAGACAAAATAAAAGTTTCACACCTTTGGAGAAAAAGCAAACTGGCTGATTCTTCCCCATGATAATATATAAGAATTCTTCCTTCTTTATTCAGTTAATTATAAAAACAGGCCGTCCCGGCCTCATTTATCTGTAGTCTCCTTTTGGAATTAAATATGTCAAAAATACCTTTGTGGGTCTTACTTTCATGAAGTCTTCAAAGCATCCTCGGTTTTCCTCTGCATGCCCTTTTCCAGGCTCACACCATCTCTAGTCCCATCTCCACCCCTGCCCCAAGATGAACACCATTTGCGGTCAAACCGGATGGAAGTTTGTATTGTTTCACTCTTGTTTGCAAGCAATTCCCGGGATAGGAATCAGAAATGAAGACCGTGTTTGCACATTTGGTTTTACTCAGCTGTAGGATGTAAAGCTGAACAACACTGGTGGCAGAGGCGCCAGCTGGCCTCTCTCTCCCTGCCGAGGTTTCTCTCTCCTTGAAAAGTACACTCTGAAGGTAGTCAGACCAGGTTCCCAGGCTTCCTGTCTTTGCCCTTGATGGGTATTATTGTGCCCTCTGAGTTGTTCGGCTGAAACTGTGGTCTGCTGCCCCTGTGTGCATTGCTATGCTGGTGGTAGAAGAATGAGGTGCCTGGGTAGTGACCCATCACCTCACTGTAGGTCGGGGGTGGCCCTTCCATCCTCCCGTTACTGCTACAGGTAGCTGCACTGATGCCCGAGTGGCTGCTTGGTGGGCATGGTCCCCCGTTGTACATAGAAATGTCTATCAAGTCACTGTCAAACACGGTTCGGTTGGGTGGGGCCCTCACGGACTCTCGGTTGAGTTCCATCTGCTGCTCTGGGTCCCGGAGCTGCAGGGTGCAGGGTCCCTGGTAAGGAGGTGGCTCTTCCCCGTCTGACAGGGAGATGGTGGGAGGCAAGTCAATCTCGTGCTGCACATAGGGGTAGGTGGGCTGGAAACGACTGAACGGATCCCGCTGGATGAAGGATGGGGTGGTAAACCTATCCCTGCCCCGTGGGGCACACATGATCTGGAAGGGAAAGAAAAGAAGCCTGAGGACATTCTCAGTATAACAGTGACCAACAATGGGACAGGCTCAGGGAAGTTCAAGCTTGTTCTGTGTTCACACCAGTTTTCACACCCCCTCTCACACCATTTCCCATGCAAAACAGAAAAGAACTCAGCCAGAATTGGTTTCTTGTTATTGCTGTTGTTTTGGTTTTGTTTTGAGAGTGGCCTGGGTTAAACTCAATGTGTATTGGTGTATCTCAGAAGGCTAAACTTTGGTGGGGAATGGTAGCTAACTGAAGACTTGGACGTAAATGGAGTTATTTGGGCAGGCAACAAAGATTCAAATGGGACCTTATGGAGTGGAAAGTGCAGGGGACAGAGATGGGGCAAGGAGCATGGTGTGGTGGTGCAGCCCTCTGGGAACCGGTCACAGGTAACCTCATCCAAGTCTTAGTGGCTTTACCATAAAATAGAAAATAAGACAGTGCAAGCCTCTTGCTTTTTTGGGACTGGACAGTCTGGAATCCATGAGTTAGCAAAGTGAGGTAGAGTCCCTGAGGTTACTTTTGTAAATAAATAACTCAGAAAAGTGACTTTCTTTTGGATTTCTACACTTTTACAGTTATTTCAATAAACATTTACTACAGTTATTTTTAGTTATTAATGTGAAAAATATGTCTTTCAAAGTAAAAAGGATTGTACATTTTCCTCCAAAGTGAACTCAAAGCATGCTATTTCTTTAATATAGCTCTCTTGGGGTCTTCTCGGTAAAATGGCAGAGACAGGCTGCCTCTGTGTGAGCTGGTGAAAGAGAAAGTCCGCATAAGGTAAAATAGACATTATTGCAAAGACAGAAAACACCTCAGAAATCCCCAAGAGATGTCTAAAGAGGGAGCGGGATGGGGGTGGGGGCAACGTAGAGAAGTAAGCTGAACACGGCCTCAGCTACTCGGCTCCCTGGCTGGCTGGAAGGGAAGCAGAAATTATTTTCAAAAGGTAAGCAGGAGAAAGACTGGTAGTCCTAACCCTCAGGATGAACCCTCAGCCCTCCAGTCACAGGTTTTGATGGGCAGGCATTTCCTCAAGTGAGCAGATCATCGTCAGAGAGAAAGCCAGTCTGTCACCCTTTATAACCCTGAGGGCAGCACTGGGCACCACACTGAGACGGGATCTATTGTTGAAAACTCAACTATCCCAAGGAACAGCTGCAGGCCAGCAAACCTCAGCTGGGTCTGACATGGGCCCTGGATAAGAGAAGACACAGAGAAGTAGTTGTGGGCCGCAGGAGGGATAGAAACTGATAGATAGGCCAAAGGGGGTGGCAACATGAGGTTTGGCTCATGCTACGACGGTGTATATAGAGACTGTCTCTCCCTGGGTGGTGGGAAACAGACATCTTGGATTGAGAACAACCTTGGAATTTAATAGTTCTGAACGTGTAGTAAATGGATAAAATTCTGGAGCCACCTCTCTGCCCTTCGCTGCTGGAAAGGTGGAGAACTCTGAAGTTCCAGGGATGTGGTTGATACTACAAGCTGCAACCCTCCAGTGGTGTGGTAAATAGATTTCACACCCGTGCCAACCTCAGTACTGTTGCCTGCTTGCCTCACTTTCAAAGCACTGGGGAGACAGCCTGGCTAAACCATTAGCAGCCCTAGGATTATGATCAGGGAGTCTTGGAAGAGTGGTACAACCTGCCCAGCCCTCCACTGCAAAGCCAAGTATAGCCACCAGAGATGCTAGCAAGTATAGGAAAACTGGCAAGATAAAGATAGCTCTGTCAGACAACATACACTTGTACCACACAGACTCAGCAATGGGAGACACAAGTCCACAGATGTGACAGCCCCATTCCAGGCATTTGACAGGCAATCTCCAGTTTCCAAGGGCCCAGAAACATGCTCCAACATCACATCTCTTTTTCACACACACACACACCACCTCCACCACCGCCGCCACCACCACTACATAAATGCACACACATATGGTCTTTTTTTTTTTTTCTTAAACAGGGTCTCTCTTCATAACCCTGGCTCTCCCAGAACTCACTTTGTAGACCAGACTAGCGACAGACTCACAGAGATCCAACTGCCTCTGCCTCCTAAGTGCTAGGATTAAAGGCATGCAGCAGCACACCTAGCTTATATATGGTCTTCTTGGTGATATATTAATGAGATGTCATTGATGTTAGGTGTATTTCTATATCATGAACAGCTTGTTGTTACTGCTGTTATAACAGTTTTCTATTTATGCATGGTGCTAGGAATTGAGCTCCCTACAATGGAATTGATATCCAAACCAACATACATGTACACTGCAACAAAGACAAAACAGAACATGATTCCACAGAAGATTATATAATTCAGGAACTGCTAAACTCAAAGATATAAGACAATATGTAAAATGCTAGATGAAGATTTCAAGTTTTTTTCTGGTAGGACAGATACAAGAAGATAATTCATCTGTGTCCTTTGCCTTACAGAAACTTCTCCTCAGTTTGAGGAGGTCCCATTTATTAAATGTCGATCTCAGTGTCTGTGCTACTAGAGTTATGTTCAGGAAGTGGTTTCCTAAACCAATTTGTTCAAGGGCACCTCCCACTTTCTCTTCTAAGAGGTTCAGTGTGGTTGGATTTATGTTGAGGTCTCTGATCCATTTGGACTTGAGTTTTGTGCATGGTGATAGACATGGGTCTATCTGCAGTCTTCTACACACCATTGTCCAGTTGTGCCAGTTTGTTGAAGATGCTTTCCTACTTCCATTGTATACTTTTAGCTGTTTTGTCAAAAATCAGGTGTTCTTAGGTGTTAATATCAGGATTTTCTATTCGATTCCATTGGTCTACCTGTCTATTTTTGTGCCTATACCAAGCTGTTTTCAGGACTATAGCTCCATGTAGAGCTTGAAGTCAGGGATGATGATGCCTCCTGAAGTTCCTTTATTGTACTGGGTTGTTTCTATCCTGGACACAGTTGACAAGACCAAATGGGAGCCCATAGATTGGGAAAAGATCTTCACCAATCCTACATCTGACAGAGGGCTGATCTCCAAAATATACAAAGAACTCAAGAATCTAGTCACCAAAACACCAAATAACCCTATTACAAAAAAAATGGGGTCCAGAACTAAAGAGCGAATTCTCAATAGAGAAAATCAAAGGAGCTGAAAGACACTTAAGAAAGTGTTCATCATTCTTAGCTATCAGGGAAACGCAAATCAAAACAACTCTGAGATACCATCTCACTCCTGCCAGAATGTCTAAAATTAGAAACACCAATGACAACTCATCCTGGAGAGGACGTGGAGAAAGGGGACACTACTCCACTGCTGGTGGGAGTGCACACTTGTACAGCCATTTTGGAGATCAATATGGCAGTTCCTCAGGAATATGGGAATCAGTCTACCACAGAACCCGGCAATCCCACTCTTAGGCATATCCAAATGAGCCACATCCATGCAACAAAGACATCTGTTCAGCTATATTTGTAGCAGCATTATTTGTAATAGCAAGAATCTGGAAGCAACCTAGATGCCCCTCAACTGAAGAATGGATAAAGAAAATGTGGCACATTTACACAATGGAATACTACTCTGGGGAAAAAACCAATGGAATCTTGATTTGCAAGCAGATGGATGGCACTTGAAGAAACCATTCTGAATGAGGTAACCCAGTCACAAAAAGAGAAACATGGTATGTGCTCACTCATATATAGATTTTAGACATAGAGCAAAGGATCACTAGCCTATAATTCACACTTCCAAAGAAACTAGAATACAAGGAGAAATCTAAGAGATTCATACAAGGTCCCACACAGAAGGGGAAGGAACAAGATCTCCTGAGCATATTGGGGGGGCAGTGAGTGGAGAGGGAGCTAGGAGAAAGAGAAGGGGAGGAGAGGAAAGCACGTGGGACCAGGAAGACTGAGTCAGGAGAGGAATAGAGAGGAATAGAGGAGAGAAAAAAAAAAGGAGAGAGAGATACCATAAGAAAGGGAGCCACTATAGGTTTGAAGAGAAAACTGACTCTAGAGAAATGTCCAGAGACCTACAAGACTGACCCCAACTAACAATTTGAGCAACAATGGAAAGGCTACATAAAATCCCTTCCCGGATAATGAGACTGATGACTAACTTATCCACCATCATAGAGCCCTCATCTAGTAGCTGATGGAAACAGAAGCAGACACCCACAGCTAAACACTGAGCTGAACTGGAATTCAGATGTAGAGAGGGAGGACAAAACCAGGCTACAGAAACTCATAGAGACAGCTGATCTGAACAAGGAGGAGCTAATGGGCATCCAGACTGATAGCTGGGAATCCAGCATTGGACCGACTCAGACCCCCTGAATATGGGTCTCAGTTAGAAGGCCTGGGCAGTAAGGGACCTCTGACAGTGGAACCAGGATGTATCCCTGGTACACAAAAGGACTTTGGGAGCACATTTCCCATTGAGGGATACTCCCTAACTTAGAGGCAGGAGGGAAGGCCTAGTCCCTACTCCAAATGACAGGTTTTGTTGACCCCTCCTGGAAGGCACCACCCTCCCTGTGGAGTGGGGCAGGGAATGGGATGGGAGGGTGGTCAGGGGCATGGGAGGGAGGGAGAAAGGGAAGAAGGGAGAAGGAACTGGGATCGATATGTAAAATAAGAAAAAAAAAGGGGGGGGAAGAAAAAAGATAATTCATTCCAAAACCTAGAGAGGAAAGTGAACAAGGAAATAACTCACAAATGATAAAAGTGCAAAATTCAAGACATCAAAAACAAACAAACACAGTAGACATCTTCACCAATAAACTCACCCAAGCACCCCCCCCCAAAAAAAGTATCAGGACAAAGTTGACAAAGCACTACATTGAAACATAAATAAGAGGGGAAAAAATGAACAAGAATGATGATGGCTAAGAACTTTAGGACACAATCAGGAATCCTGGGGGGGGGGGTAGGGGAGGATGACAAAACATTAAGATAAACACTAAAGGCAGAGACTATTCAAAGAAGCAGAAATTGTCCTAATTCC